AAAAAGTTTTCAAAACAAAAGAAAAGGTAAAAAAAAAAAAAAAACAATTTCCACAAGTAAATATCATAGCTATGAGTAACGAAAACTTCATGAATAGCTTACACACTCTTTGATTAAAAATACTTCCCATAACTCCTTTCAAAATATGGTTTAGACAGCCACTACAACACTCAAACTACTGCATAAAAGGACTGTTTTGATAAAAATAGAACATAGGAACAGTGTGTGTGTGTGTTGGGGGTGGAGGAGTGTCAAAAACCTGAGAATAGCATTATGCCTTTGCAGACCATCCAACTGCAAGGAAACAGTGGACTTCCAAGACATGAGATCATGAAGATCTTTATCCTGCATTGACAACAAACCGATGTTAATTGGCAATGTTATTAATAGAAGATGAATTGAAAGGAGAAGAGTATAACATACTGTGCTATCCTGGATTTGAAGAATATTTCTTATATCCTCACGGGTCTTCTCAATAAGTAAACCATTATTTCCTATATCTTTGTCGAACTCTTTGAATATATTGCCATATTTGGAAGTTGAGTCCTCGAGATACCGCTCCAGAACAGATAGACTTCGGTCTAATGAACGAACTTTCTGTGTCAAAATTTTGAGAACAGTGTCACCAGGCATTCTGCCAGGTTGTTGATGGTGCGATTCTTCGACCGGATCAGGTATAGTACTCTTTGAAAGTTCTAAAACAACATCATCTTCATCACTTTCCTCATTAGCAAGAGATTGAGACTCTCTACGATGTTGTTGTCCTACATCATTGGGTCCAGGCTGGGACGGAGTTACTCGCTTATCGATAGTAGCTTCATCTGATATAGAGGGTTTATGTTGAGCAGATATCAAATCCTCTAGCATCATTTCAACAGCATCCATTCCGTAAACTTCAACCGTGCTGAGTGTGCAATAGAATTCTGAACCATAGTGGGTAAGAAGATTCAACTTTAAGTACCTCACCCATTTCGGGTCTTTGAGAACGAATCTATGTGCATGCTTTGCATTTGGAGCAGTGAAATTCCCAAGCTTGAACCAAACATCTGTTGGATAAACCAAACTTCCATGTAGCTCGAATTCTTTCAAGTTAGAAGAATGGTGCTCAAAATTAGCAATTTCGATTGTTACTACCAAGGTTTCTTCTGAAAGTTCTATGACAACAAATTTCTCTTCAGCAGAACATGGATTTCTGAGGTACTTATCTTTGTCCTTGCCTAAGATGTTAGAAGCTCCTTTTGCTTCCTTGTTGAAAGCCAACACCTTTGCTCCCTTTGAAGCTGAAGCGTAATTGTACTCAGCACCACCAGGTTCTACTCTATGGATAGTATTCCCAGCCTGACCAGTTTCATCCTTAGTCCGAGATGTAAAGACTCTGCTTTTGAATTCTTCAAGGCCCAGTAGAACAGTGTCTGACGAGATATCTACCTTGAGAGGTTTACTTTCAGATTTTACTCTGGCACTCGAGCTCTCAGCCTCAGGCAACCCCGTAGCAGCTAGTACATGACTGCTACTTTCTTCACTTGAAAGCATTTCATTGTCAGAAGCCTGGCTCGTAGAATCAATTGAGCACGAATCGTTTAAACGACTGGTACAATCAGTTTCTCCTTTCGAAGGTTCGTATAAAACGTCATGGCTTGTAGCATCATTTGAGCACGAATCGTTTAAATGACTGGTACAATCAGTTTCTCCTTTTGAAGGTTTATATAAAACGTCAGAGTCCTTGTTACTTTCCAATGTAGATTCATTTGAAGTAGATACACCATCAGGAAGTAAAACTGATCCGTCTGAAACACAAAGAAAAGAAGGCATAGATAATCAATCAGTAATACTATTCTGGTGAATAAATCATGAATCGGTGATTATTAGTGTAGAAAATCCATATTTAACATTTAATTTAGCCAATTTGGTGATGAATAACAAAGCCAAATCATTTCAACAGTTCCAAACTAACTTAAAACAAGTGCTTACTCCATTAAAGTTTCCACTAAGAATTGTCTCTGTAATATAATTTCAGGAAACAAAGTACTTTGCAGGGGGTTACTCAATTATATCCTTTGTGCTGTAAGGTTACTAAGCTTACACTATGATATCCACACAGACGTACTGCGCATTGTATCATTATGCTCAAACTTCATTAGAGAAGGACTTTCATTATTTCTTTAAACAAAGAACGATCAAAACAATCAATTATATGATTATATTTCCCACTGGTTTTACCCTTAAGTACGAAAAGACAAACTGTATTGTCTTCTTTTTATATGAATGTAAGAATATAGAGCATCATATTCCAAATGGGAATATTAAATAAATCAAAATCTTCAACTTGTCAGCGTTAAGAAAATTCACAACAAGATAATGGTAAACTAAAACAAACACCAGAATTTAGTTTGCAATATAACGGGCGTGAGATCCCACATCGGTTGGAAAGGGGAACAAAACATCTTTTATAAGAGTGTGAAAACTTCTTCAGACGCGTTCTCGGAAGGAAAAGCCCAAAGAGGACAAATATTTGCTAGTGGAGGTGGACTTGGAGTGTTACAAGGGGAACAGAACAATTTGGAATCTCCTATAAAGCCAATGCATTGGAAAATAAAAGAAAGGATAATAGAACGGCATAGTTACTCAAAACGTTTCGAACGGCATAGTTACTGATAAAAGCCAATTGAAAATAGCTCAGTCAGGATCAGAAATCAAAAGTGAGTGGTGTAATCGGATAGTGTAATCAGTTTCAATACATTTCTGAACTGAAAACAATCTTTACTATGGAAATCAAATGATTTGATCAAACCGTACCTTGACAGCCATCCCCACGGATGAACCATAAGCTAAAGAGGAAGATAAGTCCCCACAGAACAAAGACCAAAGACAGAGAAACTTTGTACAAATGATTCCGTCCACTAATACACACTTCAACAGCTCTTCTATCACGAAGAAGAGCTCCAACACGTCTCCGCATTGCACATCAATTCAAATCACTGATTGCTCAAGAACTACAAAATGATGCCTAACTGCACAAGGAAAAGAGGGAACAAATCCACGTTAAGATCAAATTCCAAACACCAAAACAAGAACGAGCAATTGTCGGTTTCGATACGAATCAGAGTCCTAAATTCACATCTAGAGAATAGTAAAAGCAAACAAAGGGGCAGATCCCACTGAAAAACCCACGATCGAAGCTCCAATCAATCACCCAATACCAGATCCATTTCAAACTAAAGAAAAAATCATTACAGAAAACCCCAGAATTCAAATCACAGGCATCTATCTAGAAACAGAGAACATCAATGACAAACCTAGTTTCAAAATCAATTAACTACCAGAGAATTTTCCAGATAGGAAGGGAAGAAGCAGATTGAGAATCCAAAGAAATTGAAAATTGAGAATAATTGGAAGAAATAAGGGAAAAGCAACAAGCAGGGAAAGTCCAATGAAACGCCATAGATTAAAGCGAAATATACCGCGTGGTTGCCGCGTCATCGAGGAATTGTCAACGATTATGGTAATTAAGTAAACAGTGTTAGATTTCATTCCGCGAATGTCTGCTTTCTTTGATTATACTTCAAGCTTTTTTTTGACGAAGAACACCATAACTTAACGTTTTCAAGATCGACATTGATCCAGAGAAAGAAACAGAGAGAGAATCTGAAAGTTTCTTTACCTTCATGTCCATTTTTTTCCTTCGCTCCTGCTGGCTCTTGATCAGCTTCCATTTCTTCCCTCTCGATCTGGCTCCCTTGCTGTTCTAATCTGTAAAGAGGGTAAAATTACGACACGATTGGAAGAGGACAAAAACGAAAAATTTCTAAAAAAAATTGAACCCGACGTGAATCGAACACGCAACCTTCTGATCTGGAGTCAGACGCGCTACCATTGCGCCACGGATCCAATGTTGATATAAATCGTTTATTAAAGTAAATAATTTTAAATAGTTTCTTAACATTTCTAGTAGGATATAAAAAAATATAAAATAAAAAAAAATACAGAAGAAAACATTTAATATTAGGATAATATTAGGACAATTAATTGGTAACATTTAAATATTCATACTCGCTACCTCAAGTTTCGATAGAAGCTATCTCGGGCGTTGCAGTCGAATGGTCGTCATGCTCCTAATTGGTCGTATTTTTTTATTCGGTTTCAAAACATGATTCCTTCTCAATTTTATCTTTTAACTATGGTACCACCAATATTTATAGTAGTAGATGGGGTGAAATGTAAGTTTAGGTTGTGTAGCCGCGTATGGGTTGCTTGTCACAAACTCAACTTTATTCCTTCATGCGAGAAAGTGAAGACGAGAACGGAAGAGTCATTCTCCAACACGTTCGTGGTGTGTCTAAGAAGGATGTAGAGGAAGAATTTTAAGGTATTGTAACGACAAGTATGATTGTTGATGTAACACCCGAAGTAAGGTTAAAAGTATTGTAATGAAAAGTATGATTGCTGAAGTAATGTTAAAAGTATTGGGATGACAAGTATGATTGCCGAAGGACAAAAATGTCATTTTTCTAATTTTCACGGAATTTCTCAAATTTTTAATTCATGAGTAGAAATTATAACGAGCTCAAAAACGAGAAAAAACAAAAAGACGGGGAAATAATTTTTAGAAAAAATTATAATAAAATATTCATAAAATGACAAATTACCAAAATACCCCTAAATTTCGAGATAATTATGAAAATAAAAAATTATAATAAAATATTCATAAAATGACAAATTACTAAAATACCCCTAAATTTCGAGATAATTATGAAAATACCACATACCGTGAGTAGTAATTAGAAAATTGTTTGAATCTCCATTTTCAACGCATCCAAATATCAGAAGAGACACCGTTCATCACATCCAACTATCAGAATTCAAATTGGAGGTCGGTTGTTCATCCGAGAAGATATTTCTGATAAAAAAAACTAAATCTCTAAATCACAATCACGACCGACTTGGATCAAAAGTACAATTTTCATACTATTTGGAGCCCACCATGTTAGATAAGGTTTATGTATGCTTTATTTTGGTGCACACAAATCTTCTCGAATTGCAAGCTTTGAGAATCCAAGAAGAAAACCATGGCAGAATTCCTGTGGACCTTTGCTGTACAAGAAGTGTTGAAGAAGACGGTGAAGCGGGCGGGTGAGCAGGTCGGCATGGCATGGGGATTCAAGGACGAACTCTCGAAAATGAAGGACTCTTTAGTCATGGCGCAAGCCATCGTAAGGGATGTTGAAAAAATGAAGGTAGACCTTGACTCCTTAAAGCTATGGGTGAAGAAGCTTCAAGATATCGTCTTCAAAGCCGATATTTTACTCGATGAGCTTGCTTATGAAGATGTTCGACGCAAAGTGGAAATTGGGAAAGATCGGATGGTACGCAATTTCTTTTCATTCTCCAAAAATTTCTTTGCTTTTCGTCTCAAAATGGTAAATGAAATTACAACCGTTACTAAAAAGTTGGATGAGTTAGTTTCTACAAAATGTCCTTTGGCATGTGTTGCTACAACATTTAACGAAACTGAAACTGATCTTAACCAAGTACGAGAGACGGACTCTTTTCCCGATGAAATTGGAGCTATTGGGAGGGAAATTGAAGTATCAAATATAGTGGATAAACTACTCGCTCTTAAGAATCAAGAAAGTCTGGTTGTTTTATCCATCGTTGGTACGGGTGGATTAGGAAAAACAACTCTTGTGAAGGAAGTTTTCCATCATGATATGATAAGGAAGAATTTCGATACAACAATATGGGTATGTGTATCTGATCATTTTAAAATCAACAAAATTTTGAGAGCAATCGTGGGATTCTTGAATCCAACATTTGGTGGCTCAGATGAAAGGGAACTCATACTTCGGGAGCTCAAAAGCCTGTTGAGGGTCAAAAAATATTTTCTTGTGCTCGATGATGTTTGGAATGAGGAACCCGTTTTATGGAATGAGTTGAGGGCTTGTTTACTAAAGATCAGTCAAAATGTTGGAAATGCTATAGTTGTGACTACTCGGAGTGATAAAGTTGTTGAAATTATGAAGACAAATTACAGACATCGTTTGAGGCAGTTATCGGACGATCATTGTTGGTCTTTATTTCAAAAATGTGCATTCGGAAGTGATTTATCAATAATTCCTGATGTGATTCGAGAACGACTTGTTAAGAAATTTGGTGGTATACCATTGGTTGTGAAAGTGTTGGGAGGAATGGTGAAATCATGCAAGAATGACGATGAGTTGCAATCGACTTTAGAAAATCTAGTGAGAATTGAATTACGAAAGGAAGATCTTATTTTATCCACAATCAAATTAAGCGTGGACCGTCTACCATCTTCCTCATTGAAACAATGTTATGCGTACTGTTCAAATTTTCCACCGGACTTTTGTTTCTACAAGGAAGCACTTGTTCAGATGTGGATAGCACAAGGGTTTATTCAACTACCCGATGGAAGCAATGTAACGATGGAGGATATTGGAGTGATGTATTTCGATATTTTGTTGTCTCGTTCCTTGTTTCAAGATGTTTTTAAGGATAACAGAGGAAAAATTATATACTGTAAGATGCATGATCATATACACGAGGTTGCATGTTCTATTTCAAATAATCAAAATTTGAGAAGGCACCTTGTTACGAATGGAAAATCAGAAGGTGATGAAGTTCTTTCCATCCGTCAAAGAAGAAGAATAGTTTACTGTTGTGAAAATGTACACTTTGATAATCGGGATATGATCATCAACTTCATCTACTTGCGCGTTTTAATTATTGATTATGGATTCATAACTGAATTGTCAGATACGATCGGTAAATTGAAGCATTTGAGGTATCTTGACATTTCAAAGTCTCGAATAACTACGCTCCCAAAATCTATCGTTTTGCTTTACAATTTGCAGACTTTGAAGCTTGGATGTGATGTAAAACTTCCCGTAAAGTTGAGAAAGTTGGTCAACTTACGGCATTTGGAATTTGATTTTGTTGGTCAACTTACGGCAGTTGGTCAACTTAAGGAAATGCCTAAACATTTAAGTCGACTGACTCAACTTCAAACGCTTTCTATATTTGTAGTTGGGTTTGATGAAGGACGTAAGATTGAGGAGCTTGGACCATTAAAAGACCTTAAAGGTAAATTAAGCCTTTTAAATCTCGAGCAAGTCAAAAGTAAAAAGGAGGCAAAGGCTGCAAATTTAGTACGGAAGGAAAATATTTCTGATCTACTTTTTGAATGGAGTGTTGAAAGAGAAGACTATGGTGACAATGATTTGAACGTGTTAAAAGGGCTTCAACCACACGAAAATCTTCGAGCATTGAGAATTCATAATTTTGCTGGTGAACTTCTGCCCAACTGTATTTTTGTTGAAAACTTGGTTGAGCTAAATCTAGACGGCTGCAAAAAATGTGAAACTTTACCGACGCTTGGACAGTTATCCAAACTTGAGGTTCTTAAAATTAACGAGCTCAGTGCTTTAAAAAGTATTGGAAGTCAATTTTATGGGAATTATTACGATAGCAGAACTTTATTTCCGAGACTGAAAAGACTTGATATTTTGCAAATGGACAGTTTAGAGCAATGGGAAGAAGTTGCTGCTTTGACAAATTCTACGGCTTTTCCTCATCTCGAAAGCTTAACTATTTGTTCTTGTCTCAAACTAACGAACATTCCAAATATTTTCACAACTCATGGTCAGAGGTTGGAAGCTGACACGGTTAATGCAAGATTGTTTTCAAGCTTTCAAAGTCCACCAAAGCTTAAATCTCTATGCATTTATAACTGTACAAGTTTGATAAAGCTACCAAACTGGTTGGAATTCTGTAGCTCACTCGTCGATTTGTGCATAGGCGACTTTCACAATGATATTTCCCCTTCAAATTTGCGCCCACCAAATTTGCAAAATATGCCGAACTTGTCATTGTTAAGACTCGAAAACTTTCATAACTTGCCCGAAGGGCTCGGTGGTATTCATAACTTGAAAACATTGATAATTGAAGGGCCAATGCAGGATTATGATTGGAGTGGATTCATACCCTTCAATTCACTCGAAGTTCTTGAGTTGCATGAAATAAGAACCGTTAATTTAACACATCTTCCTCGACAACTTATGTTCCTCACTAATTTAAGATCATTGTATATTAACAATTTTAATGGCCTTGAATCTCTACCAGAATGGTTGGGAAACGTTACATCTTTGGAGACATTAGAGTTATGTTTGTGCAAAAATTTGAAAAACTTGTCCTCGAACAAAGCTATGTCAAATCTAACCAAATTGAATCATTTGAGAGTGCTTGGATGTTCTCGGCTTGAAGTTGGTGAAGGTGGCGTTGAACGAGAAAAAGTTTCTCACGTACCCAATATCTTTGTACTATAACACAACTACTTTATGATGGTTTCTTTTCTTCGTACTTTTTTTTTTTTAATGTTTTTATTAGCGTAAGTACTTTTAAGAATTGTATTAATTTTGTTACTATATTAATTAATGAGTCGATTATATTCGCGTTTCCCATCTTCCTTCTACTCTTATCGTAGCTCTATTCTTTTTAACTTATTTTCCCGACACGCTTATTTCTTTTTATGGATTTTGATTTTTCTTGTTCTTTTTGTTGTTTTTTTATTCCGAGTTAACGTATTTCCTGTTAAAAGTCCAATCATTCTCGAAAATCTCGATGGGATTAGGTTTGCAGCGAGTTGAGCTTTAAGTGTAATTTGCAGGTTTTCATCCTCGTTAGTGCACTTCGAAGGCTCGATGCAATCGTTTTCTTGAAATATTCTTTCAGTGTGTCATCACCCCTTTAAATTGTAGCTACTACTCGAAATGACATTATGTCATAGAAAGTTCGATTTTTAGTGGAAACCAACGTAATTATTTAACCTACGAGTCCTCGAAATCTTGAAAGTAAAGAAATTTAGATGGTTTAAAATGTGTTTTAGTTTTCTTTCATACGAACCTAACAAATCAATATTTTAAACTAATATGAAATGTCTTTGAATTATTGTCCTAAGTTTTTGATTGGAACGAACATTTGGTATTGATTTTAAACTGTTAAGGATATTTAGTAATAAATTATAGTTTACCATATATATTACATTTGATATTTTATTATAAAGCAAATATCTAATATTTGCCTTATTATCATAGGTATCTTTCCATTTATTGTTATTTCTATTTATTACTATTTCCATATTCTTGTAATTTATTTGATTATAAATAAGACAACTTTCACACCACTAGGTGTGTGGATTAATCAAACATTCACATGGTATCAGAGCCCTTTCAGTTTAACAACCCTGATCCTTTCTTTTCAATGACTTTTGAATCCTCTAATCTTCTTCTCCACCACCCCTGCTGGTTTTGACGCCGCAGGGGTAGTCTTCATGGCTGCTGTAGTCGGAGCCGATTGATTACTCTTCGGCTCCACCTTATTGACCTCCAAATCACCTTTTGTCATACTCTGTACATACAACCTCACCTTTTCCAGCCAAATCGGTTTTCCCTTTGGCCAATATAGTCTCTCTCATTTTCTTCCCAATCAACCTTCATCCTTCACATAAACTCTAACCTAAACCTATCAACCTTTTGCAGAGATTTACCTTCGGAATCTGGGTGCCGCACTGGCCTATTCGCCAACCAAGTTGTTGCCGCCCTTTCTGCCAAAATTGGCTTCTTCGCCCGATGAGGCGACTCTTCCGACTGCCCTTCTCGCCAAAATTGGCTCCTTCGCCCAATGTGGCGACTCTTCCGGCTTCAACATTGTCTTTGTCCCTTGCTCTAGGTTTACCCTTCTACTTCTTGGGGTTAGAAATATTCTCACCAGAGCCAAGACAGCATCGTCGCTAAGCGACAATCCCTCTTCATGGGTTAGACATATTCTCGCCGAAGCCAAGGCAACATCGCCGCTGAGCGGCGATCCCTCTGCAATTTTTGATGGCCAAGAACCGGGTTTTTATCATCTTCATGAAAAGTGTTTCTCAACCTCTTTGAATTTTTCAGATTCAAGCTTCACGTTCGTTTAAATCCGACGCTTAGCTTGCGGTGGGGTGTTAAGGATATTTAGTAATAAATTATAGTTTACCATATATATTATATTTGATATTTTATTATAAGGCAAATATCTAATATTTGCCTTATTATCATAGGTATCTTTCCATTTATTGTTATTTCCATTTATTACTATTTCCATATCCTTGTAATTCATTTGATTATAAATAAGATAACTTTCACACCATTTAGGTGTGGTGGATTAATCAAACATTCACATGGTATCAGAGCCCTCTCGGTTTAACAACCCCGATCCTTTCTTTTCAATGGCTTTTGAATCCTCTAATCTTCTTCTCCACCACCCCTGCTGGTTTTGACGCCGCAGGGGCAGTCTTCATGGCTGCCGTAGTCGGAGCCGATTGATTACTCTTCGGCTCCACCCTATTGACCTCCAAATCACCTTTCGTCATACTCTGTACATACAACCTCACCTTTTCCAACCCAATCGGTTTTCCCCTTGGCCAATATAGTCTCTCTCATTTTCTTCCCAATCAACCTTCATCCTTCACATAAACTCTAACCTAAACCTATCAACCTTTTGCAGAGATTTACCTTCGGAATCTGGGTGCCGCACTGGCCTATTCGCCAACCAAGTTGTTGCCGCCCTTTCTGCCAAAATTGGCTTCTTCGCCCGATGAGGCGACTCTTCCGACTGCCCTTCTCGCCAAAATTGGCTCCTTCGCCCAATGTGGCGACTCTTCCGGCTTCAACATTGTCTTTGTCCCTTGCTCTAGGTTTACCCTTCTACTTCTTGGGGTTAGAAATATTCTCACCAGAGCCAAGGCAGCATCGTCGCTAAGCGACAATCCCTCTTCATGGGTTAGACATATTCTCGCCGAAGCCAAGGCAACATCGCCGCTGAGCGGCGATCCCTCTGCAATTTTTGATGGCCAAGAACCGGGTTGTTAGCATCTTCATGAAAAGTGTTTCTCAACCTCTTTGAATTTTTCAGATTCAAGCTTCACGTTCGTTTAAATCCGACGCTTAGCTTGCGGTGGGGTGTTAAGGATATTTAGTAATAAATTATAGTTTACCATATATATTATATTTGATATTTTATTATAAGGCAAATATCTAATATTTGCCTTATTATCATAGGTATCTTTCCATTTATTGTTATTTCCATTTATTACTATTTCCATATCCTTGTAATTCATTTGATTATAAATAAGATAACTTTCACACCATTTAGGTGTGGTGGATTAATCAAACATTCACATGGTATCAGAGCCCTCTCGGTTTAACAACCCCGATCCTTTCTTTTCAATGGCTTTTGAATCCTCTAATCTTCTTCTCCACCACCCCTGCTGGTTTTGACGCCGCAGGGGCAGTCTTCATGGCTGCCGTAGTCGGAGCCGATTGATTACTCTTCGGCTCCACCCTATTGACCTCCAAATCACCTTTTGTCATACTCTGTACATACAACCTCACCTTTTCCAGCCAAATCGGTTTTCCCTTTGGCCAATATAGTCTCTCTCATTTTCTTCCCAATCAACCTTCATCCTTCACATAAACTCTAACCTAAACCTATCAACCTTTTGCAGAGATTTACCTTCGGAATCTGGGTGCCGCACTGGCCTATTCGCCAACCAAGTTGTTGCCGCCCTTTCTGCCAAAATTGGCTTCTTCGCCCGATGAGGCGACTCTTCCGACTGCCCTTCTCGCCAAAATTGGCTCCTTCGCCCAATGTGGCGACTCTTCCGGCTTCAACATTGTCTTTGTCCCTTGCTCTAGGTTTACCCTTCTACTTCTTGGGGTTAGAAATATTCTCACCAGAGCCAAGACAGCATCGTCGCTAAGCGACAATCCCTCTTCATGGGTTAGACATATTCTCGCCGAAGCCAAGGCAACATCGCCGCTGAGCGGCGATCCCTCTGCAATTTTTGATGGCCAAGAACCGGGTTTTTATCATCTTCATGAAAAGTGTTTCTCAACCTCTTTGAATTTTTCAGATTCAAGCTTCACGTTCGTTTAAATCCGACGCTTAGCTTGCGGTGGGGTGTTAAGGATATTTAATAATAAATTATAGTTTACCATATATATTATATTTGATATTTTATTATAAGCCTTATTATCATAGATATCTTTCCATTTATTGTTATTTCCATTTATTACTATTTCCATATCATTGCAAATATTTGAATGTTTGATTAATCCATCACACCTAAATGGTGTGAAAGTTGTCTTATTTATAATCAAATAAGTTACAAGGATATGAAAATAGTAATAAATGAAAATAAGAATAAATGGAAAGATACCTATGATAATAAAGCAAATATTAAATATTTGTCTTATAATAAAATATCAAATATAATATGTATGGTAAACTATAATTTATTACTAAATATCTTTAACATAAACTAATATGAAATGTCTTTGAATTATTGTCCTAAGTTTTTGGTTGGAACCAACATTTGGTTAAGTCTAAATGCTTAAGATAATAGAGGATATTACTCACTAGATAGGATAAAAATGTCATCAGATCCTATAAGTAGGTTGCCGTATGTCATCCGACCCTATATATATAGTGAGAAAAGTCAATTTAGAAAGACTCTTATATTTTTGTGGGTTTCTTCATTTCTAATTTCTCAAACTATAAATTTGGTCTATGAAATTGAATCTAATTTGATTTTATTTTTTATCATTTCATTAATTTTGCAATTAATTCACCATCAAGAAGAGAAATCAAAGAAATCAAATGTAAAAAATTAAAATTAAATAATCATATTCGTGCTATAGCAACCACTTAAGATCAAATGGGGAAGAAATTGGTATCAAAAAGTTTTAAAATTTTCTCATTAGTATATCAAGAAAGTTTGAGCGTATGTTGTTGCACGTGATGGATACAAACGCCAATCTACACTTATAGCATGATGAATTGTTTCAATCCCACAAGCTTAGATTAAATCAATATGATGTTACTCTCATAAAGTATTCTACCTGGTTTAACAACAGCTACCCAATATTCAGGGGATCCTTTCCCTGAACCCATACGTGTTTCTGTGGGTTTTAGTGTAATGGGTTTGTCTGGAAATATACGTACCCATATTTTTCCGCCGCGTCGTGCATTTCGTGTCATTGCCCTTTGTCCCGCTTCGATTTGTCTAGATGTGATCCAAGCGGGCTCAAGTGCTTGAATAACGTATCATGGATGTGTTAAGAATAAGAAACAAAATTGGATTGAAAGTAGAAACATAAGTGGATTGAATAGCCTAAAAAATATTAGCAAGACCTTGAGAATAGGTCTTGGTCCTAGAGAATAGGGCTTATGACAGTGTTTAACAATCTCCACCTTGTCATAAGATCTCAAAGTTGATAGCGAATTTGGTTGGTACCACGTCAACACACTACTCCTTCCTTCCGACGTTGATGAGATCCAAACAATGGCAGAACTTTTCACGAGCGATCACCTTTGTCAACATATCAGCAGGGTTATCAGCAGTTCCAATTTTTAGTAAACGAATATCCCCTTTGCTAATAATTTCTCGAATAAAGTGAAAACAGACATCAATGTGTTTTGTACGAGCATGATGGACTTGATTTTTTGACAAGCAAATAGCGCTCTGACTATCACAAAATACATCTATATGTCCGTGCAAAATACCCAAGTCATTGATCAAACCATGCATCCAAATAGCTTCTTTAAAAGCTTCCATTACTGCCATATACTCTGCTTCAGTGGTAGACAATGCAACAGTAGACTGCAATGTTGAACGCCAACAAACAGGTCCACCAGCCATAGTAAATAAATATTCCGTAGTAGATCGTCGCTTATCCAAATCACCAGCATAATCAGAATTCACAAAACCAGCTACACGATTGTCAAGATTAAACATTTCTTGTTTTTGAAACTTAATACCAACATCAATAGTGCCAAGAATGTACCTAAGAATCCATTTTACAGCCTGTCAATGCTCTTTACCAGGATTATGCATATAACGACTCACCATGCTTACTGCGTGTGAAAGATCAGGTCGAGTACACACCATAGCATACATCAACGCACCAACAGCATTTGTATAAGAAATGTTCTCCATATACCTTTTGTCATCGTTGGAACTTGGACACATGGAAGCACTAAGCTTGAAATGGGGAGCAAGTGGAGTACTAACGGGTTTGGTTGAATCATTCAAACTAAATCTTGACAATACCTTGCGTAGATATTGAGACTGAGTCAACCAGACTGACTGTACCTTTTCTTCGATCTCACTCTATCTCCATTCCAAGTATTTTCTTTGCATTGCCTAAGTCTTTCATTTCAAATGTTTTAGAAAGCTCATCTTTGAGATTATCAATCTCCACCTGTCTCTTTGAAGTAATTAACATATCATCAACATATAAGAGCAAGTAAATAAACGATCCATCATCGAGACATTGATAATACACACAATGGTCAAATTGACTATGAGTATACATATGCTCTACCATAAAATGATCAAACCTTTTATACCATTGGCGAGGGGATTGCTTCAGCCCATACAAAGATTTCTTCAATCTGCATACTAAATGTTGTTGTCCAACTACTCGGAAACCAACTGGTTGCGCCATATATATTTCTTCTTCCAAATCTCCATGCAAAAAGACAGTTTTTACATCGAGTTGTGCAAGCTCAAGATTAAATTGAGCAACCAAAGCCAACAATATTCGAATCGAAGAATGTTTTACCACAGGTGAGAAAATTTCATTGTAATCAATACCTTCTTTTTGTGCGTAGCCTTTAGCCACAAGTCGAGCCTTATAACGTATACCAAAAGGGTCTTCCTTTTTTGCAAAAACCCATTTACAACCAATTTCCTTCTTACCTTTTGGAAGCTGTACCAAATCCCAAGTTTGATTTATCTCCAATGATGCTATCTCCTGATTCACAGCCTCTTGCCAGTGTAAGCTATCCGGGCTCTGAATAGCATCTTTGTAACTGTTAGGAACTCCATCAATCAAAGAGAAAGCATATGCTATCGTATCATTAAACCTTGCAGGTTTTCGAATTACCCTTCGTGGTCTATTCTTGGCGATTGACTCAGGTTCCTCCACTTTTTCATTTACAAGGCTTTGCTCCTCAAGACTTTGCTCTTTCTGTTCTAAGACATCAAAGTTATTATTTACCTGATCAATAGGTTCTTCAGTAGGAGCAACCAAATCAGGAGAGAACACCACCTTCTCCACCTGCTTCAATGCCTCGTCATTATTTTCAATTTTCTGCAAAAACATTCCAGACTCATCGAATGTCACATCTCGACTATTAACAATCTTACTTGTTTCTGGACACCATAACCTATAGCCCTTCACACCTTTGTTAAAGCCCATAAACTTGGCTTTTTTTGCTCTAGGATCCAGCTTTGAGTCTGTCACATGATAATAAGCAGGACACCCAAACACATGCAATTTATCATAATCACTAACAGGACTACCTGACCATACCTCAAGCGGAGTTCTCCCACCGTTTCCAGAAACAGGTAAACGATTCACCAAGTGAACTGCATAACTGAGAGCCTCAGCCCAAAATGCTTTACTCAATCCTGCTTGAGACAATATTCATCGAACCTTCTCTGTTAATGTCTGGTTCATTCTCTCAGCAACTCCATTTTGTTGTGGCTTACCAGGAGCAGTGAAGTGTCGAACGATCCCTTCATCTCGGCATACTTTAAGGAATGGATCATAAGTATATTCTCCCCCGTTGTCTGATCTCAGCCTTTTGATTTTCCTGTCCGTCTGATTCTCTACCATTTTCTTCCACTCTAGGAAGATTTGGAGAACCTCGTTTTTGTGCCTCATGGGATACATCCAAACTCTCTTCGAGTAGTCATCAATAAAGGTGACGAACCACCTCTTTCCTCCCAATGAGACATTCTTTGTGAGACCCCATACATCAGTGTGAACATAATCCAAAATGCCCCTTGTTTGGTGTATAGCTATACCAAACTTCACATTTTTTTGTTTACCAAATATACAATGTTGACAGAAATCAATTCTTCCAGTTTTTTGGCCCTTAAGGACTCCTTGGTTCACCAGTGTCTGAAGCGCCTTCTCACCAGCAGGCCCGAGTCGCATGTGCCATAATTTCGATATGTCTTGTTCTTTCGAACTTGCCACAACAGCATGCCCAATTATTGTGGTTCCGTTGAGGTAGTATATGCTACCTCTTCTAGTTCCTGTAATTGCCACCAAAGCTCCACGAGCTACTTTCAAATTCCCTCCTTCCAAAATGATGCGATAACCACTCGCATCCAAAACGCCAAGTGAGATCAAATTTTTCTTCAAGTCAGGGACATACCTCACCTCTTTGAGTTTTCGTATAACCCCATCAAACATCTTGATTTGTACTGAGCCGATTCCCATTATCTTGCAAGTACTATCATTGCCCATATAGACAACTCCACCATTGAACTTTTTGAAGTCCAAAAACATCTCTTTGTTGGGACACATATGATAGGAGCACCGAGAATCAAGAATCCATTCACTGGTTTGGCTGACTGATAGGGAGATTGTCAAGGCATCATTTGTATCAGTGTCGTCATCTCTAACCACATTGGACTTCGACCCCTTCTCTTTTAAGATCGAACAATTCTTTTTCCAATGGCCTTTTTGTCGACAATATGCACAATCATTTTTATCAAGTTTTCTCCAATTGTCAGATCTACCTCTCGACTTTAATCGAGACTCTCCACATTCGTTCTTTTTCCAATTAGAAGTCCTTCCATGAGCAGTGAGAACATTTGAGCTAGAGCTTTGATACGTCTCCTTTTCCTTTTTTCGCATCTCATTGTTTATTAAGGCATTTGAAACATCTTCAAAATCAATATTAGTGATTCCATGTAGTAGGGTCGTTATTAAAAACTCGTAGGTTTCCGGCAAAGAGTTTAATAACAACAACGCCTTGTCCTCGTCATCAATCTTAACATCAAGATTGAGCAAATCAGTGATGATTTTGTTAAAATCATCCAAATGCTCAGCCATTGAGATGCCTTCCTTGTAGTCAAAACGGAAGAGTTTCTTCTTCAAATAGAGTTTATTTTCCACACTCTTCTTCATATATTTCGCTTCAAGCTTGTCCCATAATTTTTTCGCCATGGTAACCTTCATAAATGAATATTTCTGATCCTTGCCAAGACAGGATCGAATAATTCCACAGGATTGTCGATTTAATTTCGTCCATTCTTCTTCTGTCATGTCTTCAGGCATTTCCTCTTGGAGAGACACATCGAGGTCTTGCATGACCAACAAATCGTTAACTTCGCCTCGCCAAACACCAAAATTATTGGTTCCATCAAATTTCTCTACTTCGAGATTGGAACTCCACACTCTCGATCCACGTCGTGATGGTTCTGCCATTTGCAATAATTTATCTGGATGAAACTCAAAAAACACAATTCTTGAAAATTGAATTTCAAGAGAATAAACACGATTGTGAGCACGTCTAATGGTCGATGAGGTCCAAGCTTTCACAATACCCAAAATACCACAATAAGGCTTTAAACATTGTCATAAGCCCTATTCTCTAGGACCAAGACCTATTCTCAAGGTCTTGCTAATATTTTTAGGTTTCTTAGTTTATCTTTAGGTTTAGCAGAAGGCTATATAATGCCATTCTTTCTGCTGTTGAAAAATCAAGTTTTTGAGTGCAATATTGTATGTCTTGAGTGATTTTGGTGTTGTGAGTACATTTGTTCCGCTTTCGGCTCACAACAAGTGGTATCAGAGCCTTATTGTGGTATTTTGGGGTATTGTGAAAGCTTGGGCCTCATCGACCATTAGACGTGCTCACAATCGTGTTTATTCTCTTGAAATTCAATTTTCAAGAATTGTGTTTTTGAGTTTCATCCAGATTAATTATTGCAAATGGCAGAACCATCACGACATGGATCGAGAGTGTGGAGTTCTAATCTCGAAGTAGAGAAATTTGATGGAACCAATAATTTTGGTGTTTGGCGAGGCGAAGTTAGCGATTTGCTGGTCATGCAAGACCTCGATGTTTCTCTCCAAGAGGAAATGCCTGAAGACATGACAGAAGCAGAATGAACGAA